AGAACACGGCCCGTCCCGCCCCTCCCGACACTATGTGGCTGCCAGGGTGGTAATGTCTGTGGGGGTTCAACTGTTCCTGCATTAGCTCATACGTCATGAAGTGAACAGCCTGGAAGGGAATGTTCATGGCCAGTTGTGTGCTGTAGCTACGGTAGAAGGCTGCGATGCCTTCAGTGCGTGTTACTGTTTGAATACAATCCCAAAGTCCTCGATATGGAGAGTTGTACATCTGCATCCTCTGCTTTACCACTGGGTCATGGAAAGAAACAAAGAACTAGGTTTAATTCAGATTTTATTATGTGTAGTCTATACAATTTCTACTTTGCACTTGGACAAAAATACAGTATCTCAAACAACACACCACCAGGCAGCAGACCTCTTGCTCATGCTTTGCAGAATTGCATACACTTCCCAAAGGGAAGGCAACCCAAAGGCTAAAGGGACTAAAGGGCTAAAGTTGCTTAACTTCTTTATACTTGATGACCAACCACTATCTGTAGTGGAAAATGTCAGATTTCACAGCCTGTTGGAGCCCTTAGAACCCAGGTATAATCTGCCATCCAGAAAATACATTACAGAGGCTGTTATACCTGAACTGTACCACCGAGTGTCATCACAGTTAGTGACGCAGTTAGAAAATGTTAAAGCCAACATCTTTACAATCGATATTTGGGCCTCAGATGTGAGCAGCATCAAAGCTGTTCCTCTATTCAGTTGCTACTTTACTGGACCCACCATACAAAAACAGGAGAGATAGGTTTTTTATTAATAATAAATTATTAATGCTCTGATGTTGGCTACATTTTAAATGGTAAATGTGAAATCTTGCAAAATCAAAGCTACATGTTTATTTCTAGCCCAAAAGTGGAGATTTGTAAATGTGCAAATCTGGAGATGCTTGTGTGTCCTTGGCCTCTGACCATCTAGTGGTTGCACTTTTCCATCATTACTCATATTTAATACTATGTTTATTAGTGTTGATCGTTTTATTGCAGTGAAAGAGCTCTTGTATAGGAATTGGCATGGGTGTATTGGAATTGGATCGGAACTAATAAAAAGTAGATTGGCCCATCACAAATTTTAAATATGTTCATGTGCAAGCCAGACAGTTTTTAATCATTCTCATTTTACCTGACCATAAGACACATGAGTAAAACAAGAAGAGATGAAAGGACAAAACTTAATTTTACAGATGGTCAAAGGATTTTATTAAAATTATGCCAACCTGGGCAGTCAGAACTCAACAATCACCCATTAATAATATTGTGCTGACCAGCATGGTCCAAGAACACTGTTAATATCTGCCGTTTTAAAACCCAAAACTTCAAAGACCAAAACCAACAATGTGTTCATTTGTCTGTCTGACATGTTTGTGGCAACCAGCCCCAGGTTCTTTTGTTCATGGAGCCAAATTAAAAAAAAAACTGCTCATACAGTTTCTTTTTTTATTTTTTTTTTTTAAGGCTAGGCAATCTTCTATAGCAGCTGAGCAATGCAGTTTTTTTTTATACTAATTTTGCTGGGGACTATTTCCAGCTGCAGATTTAGAGAGTTTTCATTTTCACACCTGCCTTGTTTAGTCTCGTTGAATCCAGTCATTTCCCACATGGTGTGGTTTGTTTGGGCAGGTCTTAACACCACAATTGCACTCACTTGGGTGTGGACCAAAGCAGCTGCACCGAGACTCTTCACTGGGAGATATATCTATAATATAGATATATCTCATTTCCGGCTTAAATGAATTGCGGAGTGCTTCGTTTGTGGTGGAAACGTGATCCGACCTTAATCTAGACAAAGTACAAAGAGTGCTTTGCAAGTCGGAGCTAAGCGGCTCCTGTATGTAGCTGGTGGCATAGTTTTGATTAGTGTATTACCCAGATAATTACCACAGTTAGAAGAAAATGGCCATTGTGCTGTTTCTTCACACTGCAGAGCAAATTGTATTCATAGGAATATTCATCAGTACAGAACACAAATCTTCCTCCTGTACTTATGTTCCCATTCCTGCCCTAGGGAAAGTTTTCACATGATCTATGGTGATGCATTTTGGTTTTCTTGGATTTTTGTCTGTGTGAAAAGAAACCGAACTAAGGAGAAAATGAACCAAAATTACAAACTGGTCCAGTGACTCATACTAGTGAATGAGCTACAAGTTTGAAAATGCCCTTACACACATCTGGTGATGTAGTGAATTTACTGCAGCAGGACGGTTTATGAACAACTGACACACACTAAACTACATGTACATTGTATTGAAAGAATATGTCACCATTATATACGTTTTTGAACAACACTGGAGTTCTATGGCACATAGAATAATAAAGTTTATATCAGGCATTAGATAGATAAATCATTGCTGGTTTTGGTCTTTTCATGGGATTTGCCAACTTAAATGTTGTGAAATTATACAGTATCATCATCTTTATCCTTTAAAGGTCAAGGAGGGAATTAGAATCTTTTTGCTTACCTTCAGCAGGGTTCATGACTGCATCATGGAGAACAGTGGCCACACTACCTGCTATACCTGTTAAAATACAAAAGAGACTGTGACTGTGTTTACAATTTAACAGCAAATGAATGTTACAAACATGAGCCTTATATTTGAGGGGATTTTCTTTTGTTGTTTACATGCTAGAAAACCTTAACCTAAACAATTTTTAACCATCATATTCCAGATAGCATGTTTGGATTTTTCATGTCTGGGGTGTGGCTTTGTCCTGCCAACACAGATAATTAAAATGACTTCTCCTAACTGCACTACCGCAGGCCATGTTGCTTAGACAAGTGTAAACACAGTTAATATGACAGTCATGTGATTTGTGTTGTGACATGGGAATTTGTACCGTTGGCTAAATGGCTGTTGCCTCCACTCTGAATGACGTCACTTAGTGAGCGTTTAGCCTGTTCATAGCAGGCAAAGTAGAGCGCATGGGCAGGTCCTGCTCCTATCATGGTGATGTTGAGGCCCCTCAGCGGTCTGAAGATCCCCTCAGTTCGGATGATCCTTTTCAGAGCCTCATACACACTCCTGTACTGTGCATTTGGGTCTGGCTGCAGGCTCTGCATCCTTGTCTGAAAAAGAAACAACAAAAAAACAAGACATATTTAAACTGCTGCTTTTCATTTGCTCCACTTTAGGTACATCTTTTAACAGTTACATTATCCAAGTGCCAAAGTTTGAGTTCTACATGAATATGTAAATATGACCATGAGTGGCACCTGGGGTACTGTCAACCATGATTAACTGATGCACTGTCCCCTGTAATGCTGTCACACTGTGCTGACAGTAAGTGCTCTTGGCAGCAGGGGGTCCTGTCTGAATGATGTGTGTCTCTCTCAAGGCTGGTGTGAGAGACTGTGGCAACGCTTTGTTTTACTTCACCATGGCAAGTTATCTGCACAGCACAAAGCATGTTGTTATATGCAAGCACATCTGGGGCTGGTTCAGGAGACAGGCTAGGTCTATCTTCCTCAGTATGTTCCCATATGTTTCCTTCATTTGGTCTGACAATAAAGTTTCTATTACACTTCTGTTTGCTACAAGTGTGGGAAGTTGGGACACACACAACTTGGTACAATAGTTTATATTCGAAGCTTGAGTGATTTAAACATACACAGTATACACTACATATTACATGAGCTCATTTTCACATTAATCAGTGAGGTCCTTGATATATAAAACTTAACAATTACAGTATCAGTTTGCTGTATAGATAATTTCAGGGACTTAAATTACATCGGAGAAAACATAACCTTCAGACAGTTCCCACTGTATCCTGGGACTGTGCTCTTATTTACTGATAACTTCCTAAATGCCTGATGATAAAAGACATTTCATGCACTTAAAAACACAACACAGGTACTTGTTTAGTAAGCAATAGATACTCAAAGCTTAACCATACAAAATAAATTTACTTTAAGGAAGTGAATAGATGGTTAAGTTGTAGTAAAGGCTGTGTAACTTAAAAAATGATGGAAAAAAATTCTGGTTACGGTTTAAAGAAGCCAACATTACTTGTTACTTTAAACAACCTCAACCATAAATGACCAATATACCATTGCAAGGTTTTTTTTTAACATTCAAATACTGATATTTACATCAGCCTTGAAAATACTGCATCCACTGAGTACTAATAAGAAATTATTAAAATGTGAAATACCTGTTTTAACTGTGGACCTACAATGATAGAAGAGTATAAGAAACTATTAAGATAATATGTGAACAAGAAAATCCAGTCCCGTACTTTGAGCACTAACTTGATAACAAGCAGGCATATTCAATTATCATTTGGTTTTCAGCTACTGCATTAAAAATAAATTCATTACCCAGTTTTTACAGTTATATTTGCCTTTAAAATATGATATACTGTATAGATTATTTATAATACTTTCTATACTGGGATAGCACAAAGTTAACCTCACTGTATGCTTAAAATGCTATTAACATCACTGTCACAGTCAACTCAGGAATCAACAGGTAGCCAGTTAAGCATCCTGACAAAGGACACACTCCTATCAATTACATTACACTGTGTCCTATCTCTCTAATTCAGCTTTGGCCGTTCTGGTTCTATGGCCGTTTACTAATCAACACTACAGGAGTGCAATTACATAAACACACCCTTCACTGCATAAGACTGATTCCAAATGTGGCAGCGCTGATAAGATCCTCCTCCAACAAGAGGAGAGGCTACACCCTGAGTCCTAGGTGCGCCTCATTCCATGGAAGGTATGTGAACTCTGAAATAGGCCAACAAGTCTTAATTAAAAGAGATATTCTGCTAAACCTATCTCTAGTACAATGTGAGACACCAGGGTCATTATTTTAGGATCTTAACTGGGGGAAAAAGGCCGCTGCAGTTAGTATCTGAAGTCTTAAGAGGCACAGTTTTCCTACACTGTACTCGAAAACTGTCAGCATAGATAGGATAAAACAGGAACCAGGATTAAGTCTTTCATCAGTTTAGATACACTGACATTTCAAAACAAGTTATGTGTCAGACACACAGTGATCAAACTGAATGAGCACCACATCTGCAGTTGGAAGGTGCTTATGAAAACTTAAAAACCTCAAGAGGAAATGGCGACAGCGGATTAGGTAACAAAAGACCCATGCGTTCATTCGGGAAAACGCTGAGACTGTGACACTGGCAAAGAGGATAGATATAATGACATTTGTTGAAGTGTTTTAATGAAGCTATTATTAGGGTATGATAGCAAGCCAAATTAAAACAACACCACACTGAAAACAGCAGCTGAGCAGGGGAGAGAGAGGATTGTGGGGGGTCAAGTTCACCTTCAAGCCAATTTTAACAGACTTCATCATTTTGATTAACTGAACAATAACTTCAACAGCAGGCTTTAGCCTCAAAATGGCACAAATTAGTGAACAAATTTGTATGAACACCAGTCATACAATCCCCAGGTATTTGTATAATCCAATTAAATGTGCAACTGCTACTTAACATGCAACTAGGTGACAAGATTCAGTCAGTACCATATGTACTCAAGATAGATCAAATTTGCTTTCACTTGTTCCTAGTGTGCAAATAAATAAGTGCCACCAGATGACTGTACTATGCTCAGTATTTCCTACCTCCAAGCTATTTAGGAGCAACATAACAGTTGAAGTTGGGTTTGTCATTAATAAATCAAAATATGATTTACATTTTTCTTGTACTGCGTATTAGCACCGCAACTAACAGTTTCCATGATCAGTTCTGCAGATTATTTTCTTGTTTACTGATTAATCCTTGTGTCAGTAATTTTTTTGAAAAGGGATTTGAGGGATTAATAAAGTACTCTGTCTATCTGGTACTTACTTCCTAAATTCAATCTAATTAATATAAATGTCTTGGTGAATATACTGACACCTTTTCAAATTTATTCTCATACATTTATTGCTGAACACTGGATTGACAGTCCAACGGGGAAACAATTAACCTTTGTTAATTAGTTACTACAGTCAGTGCATCTAAGAGTGGCCACAAACGTACACTTTGTTACTGCACTACAGAGATTCACCTTATGTTAGTTAAGTCTGGCTGTAAATTTCAAAGCAGTTTGACATTAATTACAGCCAAGCCAGGCACTTGACCTTCACTTACCCTGCGTCAGTACCATGAAAAAGGTATATGACTGAGGAAAAAGCTGGGATAGCATGAAAACGTGCTTTCACACTCCAAATGAGCTCATGATTAAAGTGGCAATAACATTATTCTAACCTTGCTAATATGTGACTTTGGTAAATTAAGGTTACACTTGGCGTCCAGTAAGGTTGCGAATTAGTTAAAAGTCATATCGACAAAGAAGGAGAAATATTAAAACAGTTTCTACTTGTTCGGTTTAGTTAAAACATTCCACTTTTATTCCGCTTTAATCGACGTTAACCTGTCTAACAAGTTTTTTAATTAAGTTTACGTGCTGTCGTGTCCAAATGGGCTAACACCCAGGCTAACTGAGGATGGGCAGTTTGAACACTTTATAGCTAACGTTTGTTAGCGAGCGATAGCAGACTACCCGCACGGTTAGCAGAGCTGTGTATTTCTTTAGTGAATGAACTGTAGTGTCAGAACAAGTGTAATTTACTGCTAAGCTGCGTCTGTGTACGGTACCTTGACAGAGTCCACGGGGTACATCACTGTGTGCTCCAGAATGCCAGCCACGGCTCCTGCTGTCATGTGGGTCATAACTGAGACATGAGGGGGCAAGCTCTCGTAGTCACCGTCAACATCGTCTTTGCTTTTGATTTGCGACATGTCCGACGGTGCCACCACACTGTCCGAGCTCAACTCCATGCCTTGTGAGCTCTTCCAGGAGCTGTTACAAAACAACTCTCAGACAGCTGTCGACTGTGTACATAACCACAACATCCTCACTACGAGTTAGTTGCAGTACCTCTGTAAAATCTTCAGCTGGGGGCGTGTCTTGGGTGCATATGGACCAATCATGTTCCTGGTATTTAACAATGGGGTGGGCTCTTGCATTGAGGCGACCAATGAAAAGTTTTGTAGTAGATGCCTCTGACATTTTTCAGCCCTGCTGTTATTTCAGTTTGTATGCATCCCTGCTTGTGTATGTTTCTCTGGTAGTTTTTCATAGGGTTTGACAAAAGTGTAATCGCACAGTGCTGGTTTAATAGATAAGTAAGCTTGGTCTCCTTATCAAGCAGCATCTGTTCATCAGTACTGTGGAAAAACCAAACGTTCCATTTATAAGGACCTACTGTATCTCTTGTGGTTTCATAAGAATGTAGGCCTATACATTATGTACAAGTAGTGGAAGAAATATTCAGTTCCCGAGGCTATTTAAACAAAGGTAGTAATAACCTACTACAGTATAAAAATACTCAAGTCGAAGTACTGTACAAGAACTGACAGCAAAAATGACTTAGAGGCTAAGTATCAAAAGTACTGATTATGCAGAATGGTCCTTTTCAATACGTTAAATTAATAATACTGGATTATTATTACTGATGAAATAACATGTAAGCATCTACTTAATGTTATAGTTTGTCAAGGGGAACCCAGTTTTACCTACATTGTATATTGTCTTACTCAGGAACATTTATAGATCATACAATAGAGCTCTGAAATACAGGCCTACAGTATGTGAAATGTCATGCAGTACAAATATATAGTGCACTGGCAAAATTAGAACTACTTAAGAGCAATAGCTTCATAGTCTATGTACATATTAAATCTATGTAATTAACTACTCTACGCCACTGGGGTTGCACATCCCTCAAACAGATAGATTTCTTACTTTTAAATAATTGCTTTGTTGCTTATTCCTGTCTGCAGTAGTACAGGTATATTGTTCTACTCACTGGTGATCATCTGGAAATTTCATCGTAGATAATGTCAGTTTGTGTTTATGATATCATCTGATTGAAGTGAACATGCTGGAGATTTAGTGCTTCTCCATCAATATATTCTCATTCACAGAGAGAGAGGAACCTTTGTTATTACAACTATGCTGGTCAAAATATTTGTAAATATTATTACTCTAATAAGTATCGCAGTATTAAATATATTTACAGCACCTTCATCTATTAACTATTACTCACCATACCATAAGCTCTACACACAAAGCACGCTGCAGTGTCTCTGTGGGTGTGTCCATAACAGAGTGACATGACTCAGCATTACAGAGCCTAATATCTTAAGAGCCACTTGTTAGAGCAGAGTTTTAACAGCTGCTATAGCGGGAATCTACAGTCAGAGCTTAAAACCAGCTTTTGAACCACTGGAAAATCTATAGTTACCTGTTGTCTATGACCAAAACAACAAACAAATGAGATATGTAATAATAAATTCAACTGTTTTACTCCACAGGTGATGACTCTCACATGTTGTGCAGCTTAAATTATTACTCTCGTTTGCCCCCTTTCTATTACCAGAAGTCTTCTTTAGTGTTAGATCTATAAGTAAAAACAAGGACAAACAGCAGGCCAAGACACCTTAGTCTCAGGATGCCTCTGCACAGCTGTAACATAACATAAAGGTGTCTACAGCAAATGTGCTTATGTGGTCATTAGCAGCTGCACACAGATTTATACAATTGACTGATGCTCTTGTGCAGCATAAACTCAAATGTGTACTACCACAATTCCTCATTAACTGGAATAAACTTGCTCAAAGAAGTTGTTTACATTATACTTTGAGAACCACAGAGTTGAGACTGACTACCCGGTTGTACCAATGCCATTTGTTAATCTGTTCTCCTCCTCGTGAAATAAACAGCCAGACAACTATACCATAAAACCTTTGTTACCAAATTGTGACATTTATTTTGCATTCATCTGTGCAAACCTTTCACCACAGACAATTTTTCTATAAATAATGGGGCATGTGCTCTCATTTTCATCCCCTCACAGCAGTGACATGACAGCCTCTGAAAACAAAACCCAATGTAAATATATGACAATAGTCATATAACCCAGATCAAGAATTTCAGCAGGGCTTTAAGAAAGACTGACACCGATTGGGGTGACAGTGGTGTAGTGGGTAGAGCAGCTGTCTCCCAACTGGAAGGTTGGAGGTTCAAATCTCAGTGCCTGCAGTACACATTACACGTGTTGAAGTGTCTTTGGGGAAGACACTGAACCCCCAAGTTGCCCATGATGGTGGTCCATGTGTATGCACACAGTGGCCTGGGGCCCTTGACTCCAAACAAAATTTCATTGTACATGTTACAATAAAAGAGGATTCTTCTACTTTAGACAAAAGAGGAGAGGTGTTTTTGAGAAATTCCAAACAGTGACAAAACATGTATTGCACTATTATAGCTTTGAACAGCTACTTGTCTTACACTATAAATATGAGGCAGAACAATATGGGAAAGACAGAAAAAAGGCCATTCCATGTTGTGTATTGTCTTTCACATCTGCATTAGAAAGTGCTCCTTTAATGGCAAGTGCTCATAACATTTGCCAGTAAAATAAAATAAAAATAAAAAGATGTGATCATGCACAAACAAAAGGCATAAAGAAAGGCAAATCCTCACACATAAAAATAAAATAAAAATCCAGTGCCAACACTTGGCCAATTTTGTGAAATTCAAAGTGTAGACTACATATTTATTTGTAGGATTACTTAGTGAGAAAGTATTTTTGTGTTTGTTCTACAGAAATAAAATAGATGACATTGGACGAAGCTGCCATTTAAATTTGACTAAAGGAGTAAGTGGCAGGCAAAAATATGAATCCTGCAAAACACATCACTGCAATATTAAAATAACTTCAGGACCAATACTGGCTCAGGAAAGCCTGAAAGTCACATATTTTCCTCATTTGTCCAAACTGCAGTACCATTTCTCAACACACAGCAGGGAGCAGTCCTGTTGTCAGGGTAGTGGCCTTCAAAGGCTCACTGAGCAGGCCGATAGCCTCTGACAGAAAAGTGAAGACTGGCTCTGGAAAGTCAGACATGCTGTCCAGAGTGTACACTATACAACGTTTAGAGGTTGATAAGGAGTGTGGGTGAGCCAAGGCCCTGTTCCAACCACGGTACAGAGGAGGGGGTGCAGCGCTGCGCCGTGATGTGCCGGAGTCTCAGTAAGTACAGCATAATAGACAACAACACAATGAAGAAACATGCCAGAAATAAGTAGTAGTTGTTGACAAAAGAGAAGCTATGCCGCCAGTGAGAGTGCACCCCTTTCAGACTTTCCTGTTGGATGTCTCTGGAAGAGACCAAAAAAAGATATTAACACTTGTATATGTACAATCAATATGGAAAGTTTTCTTAAATTAGATTTTTTTTTCCAACCTACACACAATGATAAACTGGAAACAGGTTTTTGGAGTGTTTTGTAAATGTATTAAAAATAAAAGGCTGAAATATCCCATTTACATAAGTAAATTCAGACCCTTTACTTAGTACTTGGTTAAAGCACCTCTGGCAGGAATGACAGCCTTAAGACTTCTTGAGAAAGAAGCTACAAGCTCTTTTGGAATTTTCTTCCATTCTGCTTGGCAGAATCGTTCAAGGCCAACCAAGTTGGATGGGGAGTGTTGGTGCACAGCCATTTTCAGGTCTCTCTAGAGATGCTGTATTGGGTTCAGGTCCGGACTCCGGCTGGGCCACCCCATGACTTTCACAGAGTTTTCCAGAAGCCACTCCTGTGTTTTCTTGGTGGTATGCTTCAGGCCATCATCTTGAAATGTAAACCTTCACCCCAGCCTGAGACCCTGAGCACCCTGGAGAAAGTTTTCATTCAGAATTGCTTTATTTCTCTGCATCCCTCCCTCTCTATATCCAGACTAGTGCCCTTGTCCCACTTGCAGAACAACATGATGCTGCCACCACGTCTGACTGTAAAGATTAATGGTAGGTAGGTAGGTAGGACTTTATTGATCCCGCAATGGGGAAATTCCTGTGTTCCAGCAGCAATAGAGAGCAGCAACACAACATTTGAGAAACAAACACCACATACATATCTTGAGAAACATTCCAAAGTACAGTACCTAAAACTAAACAGAATATAGTATTTGAGAGACAATCAAAAACAAGAATGATCCTCCTACAATTAATCCCTGAGAACAACTCAAGATACCCAAGAACAAGACAAAATATAGTATTCAAGAGATAAGCGCTTTCACACTATTTGTCTATTTACCCATTTGCATTCCCAAGCACACACACATCAGTGACATCACTGGGAGCAACTGGGGGTTCTGCATCTTGCTCAAGGACACTGGGACACGTGGACTGGAGAAGCTGGGAATCAAACTGACAACCTTCCAGTTAGGAGATGACCCATTCTACCTCCTGATCCACAGCCACCTCAGAAAGAAACTCTGGATCTCATTCATAGTGACCATTAGGTTCCTGGTTACCTGTCTGACCAAGGCCCTTCATCCTTGATTACTCAGCCTGGCTGGATGACCATATCTATGAAGATTGTTGATTGTTCCAAATCTCTTCCATTTGAGAATGATGGAGGTGACTGTGCCCTTGGGCACTTTCAATGCAGCAGAAATTTTTCTGTATCCTTCCCTAGATCCATGTCTTGACACAATCCTGTCTTGCAGGTCTGTGGACAGTTCTCTCCACCTCATGGCTTTGTTCTCACTCTGACCTACACCATCAACTGTGAGACCTTACAAACACAAGTGTGTGCCTTTCCTAATTATATCCAGTGCATTAAATTAGGCACAGGAAGAGTTTAATCAAGCTGTAGAAGCATCTCAACAACTACCGACAGGCGTAGGACGCACCCAAGCTCAAATGCAAGTGTCATAACAAAAGGTTTGAATACTTATGCATATGGGATATTTCATTGCTTTATTTTTAATAAATTTACAAAATACTCTGTTATCATTGTGGAGTACTGTGTGTAGATTGATGAGGAAAAACTGAATTCAATCCATTTTAAGATGAGTCTGAAACAAAAATATGTAGAAAACTTGAAAGGGTCTGAAAACTTTCTGTACTGACTAGATTGGCTTTGAACCAGGAGAATGTGGAAAACATTCACTGAACTAGTGAAGTTTGATCTGGCAGAAATTCTGACTTTTCACTTCATGACAGCTTACTTCAAATTTTTGTGTGGCTGATTGAGCAACATACCAATAGGTTCAAATCCAGCAAACTGAACTTATTTGAAGGTAGCCAGATCAGGACCAGCTCTCTCTCTCTCTCTTTTTGAAGGTTAACAGCACACGAGAGCTTATTTTCTGATATGAAATTCTTTATATGTTTTTTTAAAAGCAACCCATTAATGACCAAGATTGTGAAACTGAAAGATGAGTTTTGTTGAATACTTTCTTAAATTGTTTTTGTCATTCAGTTTAATTTCTAGTGTAAGTGTCTATAATTTGGTATCTACTAGAGGCTTTGGCAAAGTTTAGTTTCCCAGTTAGAATATGTCTGAGACCTTTGACATTCCTTAGCTTTAATTTACCTCCTGTTGCCAAATGCAGTAAGAAGCTGCTGTTGCAGTAAGTATTAATGGTTTGCTCAGTACAAGCCAAACCCAAGCACTCACTCCTCAATGACATTCAAAATAAAAGTTTGCTATTATCAAAGATAGTTGTGAAGATCAACCAATCTTTCCTCCACTGTAAGATTTGCTTTATCTAGATGAGATTTAAGATGATAATTTTCACTGGCTAACATTGCTTAAGGCCTGATTAGTAAAGTGACTAAGAACAGGATACATGTGAGGGGGGAAAAAAAAAAAAAAAATTCTATCTTACCTCAAAGGCAGAAATCGTGTTCTGTAAAGAATAGCTCCCAGAGTCCACTGGATCTCCTTATCATAGACCAACAGGGCAGTCTTCAGATTTTTATAATTGGTTGGGAAAGAGAAGCCTGAGTGCAGTACTTCATACATCCATGCCGATTTAAAACACTGGTACCTACAGACGTAAACATAAAGCCACTGAGAGCCTAATAGGTGTCTTTATTTGGGATGTGACCAGGTTGTTAGTTAAGCTTATAAGTTGTTTGACAGTCTTGTATGACTTACTTCAGTCTGTGAAGATCAGTATGTGAGGCATACAGGCCTGAGTCAAAGCGATCAAGCAGAGTCGTCCACTGGGTGGCGCAGTAACCCTGTAAAGGTAAAACTACAACATCAGGACAGTTTCCAGTGATACTGTAAAAGAACAATTAACAGTGTATTAACTGTTGTTTCTCCTTAATTATTATGCTAATAAAAAGTAGCATTATAGCCATAACAGGCCAAAAAGGGTTTTGTCCAAAGTTCAAAACTATCCTAATCCTATCCTAAATACCGCACAGCAAAATAAAAGTAGCTAGTGGTTATGTAAAAACTAGCTATGTGACAGACAAATTTTAACTACACTCAAAAAGAATGATTCCTTTAACAGCAATAATACTGCATTTCTGGTGAGATAAAGCTTTCTGAAAAATGTACAGAACGATAAGTATCTTACTGGGAGTATATCCAACATCACAACAGTGGTATTGTCACGTAGTGTTTACCTTGGCAGCCTGGGCATATTTCAAAGCATTATATTCCCCGCCCATGCGCAGCACGTCCTCCATGCAGTAGTAGAACTCAGAGAAGCCATAGAACTGACTGTTGTTGTAGTCAATGGCTGGCTGGTAGACACCATTGAGGGAGCTTTGGGTCTCATTGGTGCGGTTGAGGAATGGCTGGAGAATCTGTCTACACAGGTCAAAGTCTCCTGTGCCACGCAGATAGAGCTTCTGTGTAGACGGACCAATCTCATCTTGTAGGTCTATGGGCAGACAAGGGTCTAAGAGGGGAGACTCTGCTGTCTTACCAATATGCTGACCTAAGAGCCTGAAAAATAAAGTCAGTAATGTGGTGTAAATATAGACAGCACTATGTACTGACTGGTAGGAAACATTTACAAAAAAAACTAGAAAAAAATTGAAATCAAGGTATCTGATTTGACTGGAGCTCACTTGTTTCGAGTGGCAGTATTTTTGATGAGGCTTTCTTCGTATCTTTGCCGTGCTGCATTTCCTCCGAAACCCAGGAAGGTGGATACATAAACACGATAAACATGCTCTGTGCGATGTGCATCACACCCCAGGTTGAACTCGGCCAGTAAATTCTTGGCAACTTCCTCCTAGAGAACAAACTAAATTCAGCTTAGGAATGATGCCAGTGTCATAATACAGTGTTTGAATTTAGATGACAGCAGTGGTGACATGCAAGACTGTCCATGGTTATTACAGCAGATCAAGCCACATGAGAGAAGTAGATGGCTGTCTAGTTTAATGTATCTTAAAACATCAAAAAAATAAAAGCTGAAACCATCCAATAGGAACACACTGAACATCCTACTGAACTTCATGTGGTGTAAAAAAATAACAGTGAGAATACAAAGGACAAACAGGGTATGCCAAACCTTCTACTGGACATAAATCACTACAACACAAACAAGGATAACTTCCACTACATTTGATGATCCCTACATAAATGCCTTAATGTCCTCAGTCCTACATCCTGCTACAGTCATTCAGCAGGCTTACAGTATGCCTTCAATAGTGATGAATGGAGAGCGGATCATCTCCACGGGACAAAAATGGTGCACACAGGTTTAACCAGGAAATGATGGGGGTAGGAAAGAGGGAGAACAACAAAGGTTGAGTGACAAAAACCAAAGGCAGCACAACAACAGAATTGGTTTTGGATAATAACCTGCTGTGGAGAAGCAAAGCTTACAGTTTTGGGCACTTCATATGCAATTTGTGTGGAGACCCCGCCCATATCCAGAACACTGGCAGTCCTTTTTCTCACCAGTGCCTCCTGCTTATCACTGCCTGGGACATGCACCTCCACTACAGCTTCCTCATCTGGTACAAATGACAGGAGAGATGTGAGACAGTCAGGCTTCATATAATTACTGTGTAACTGAAGACTTGTTTTCAAAAGTCTTCCTGGATTATTTAACATATACTATCAGCTGTTTCATGGCAAAATGTTAACTTTTTAAAAGTGATATGCTGTTGAAATATTGCCTGCTTGGATGCTTACCACTGTCCTCATGGTTAAACCTTCCCAGGACAAAGTTTATCCCAATCCATGCGTAGACACCTAATAATGAAAATAACTGTCAAAGTTTGAAATAAATCTTTCTCAACATTGTCAATTCAGCACTGGTTTTTAACTGAAAAACTAGATCTACAGAGGAGAATCCTACATGTCCTATTCTAGGTGATGCAAATTCATGTGGGTATCCACTTTCAGGTACAACAACTGGCAGGAAATCTGTTAGCACCCATGAGATGATGAATCCAAACTATTTCATTGTATTAAATATGTTACAACATTATCAAAATGTTTTGCAATAAATTTTATAATACAAATTTTTTTCTGTTATTTTTATATTATTCCTTTGATTTACCTTCCTGTTTTCCAGAAATCACTTCTACGTGGGAATCTGAGAAGAGAAAGTCGAAGTGGACCGGGATGTCTGTGCGCAGATCCTCAAGAAGTGCTTCTTGTTGACTGAAATTAAACAAAAGCAAAACTTCATCATCAATAATAAGTTCTCCTTTTCCAATGTAACTAAGTCAGTGTTGTTTAAACCTGACATGTGAACATTTCCTGCTTCCAGAATTACATTATTGAGTTTATGTTAGGCCCAACTGTACCTTTCAGGTAGGATTCTCATTCCAGCTGTGCACAGGATATATAAAGGTGTTTCTTGGTGCTTATGTTTAGGAATGTGCTGAGCTGCAAAGCTCAGCAGTGGATATATATAATCACTGGCTTTCTCTGGGGTTTTAGCCAATTCAGAAATACCTATAAAGACAAAACATAAAGACCAAAATGTTGTTTTACAGTGTATAAATAAAAGGCAAACTTTAGCTTTGCCTTACCTTAAATTTAATTGGTGAGTAGTTAATGCTCATGACCTCTCATTTAAATAACGTTTTGGTTAATGAGAAGCCAAGCAATGGGAATCTTACCTGGTTTGATCTTCATGACTACTGGCTTGCCATGTTGATCTCGCATTTGCTGAATTTCCAGTAGTTCATGGGGATTACCATTGTGCCGGGGCCAGCAATACACAAATACCCTGGAGCCACTGCTGCCACAATCCACTACCAGGCCATAGTTCAGATTGGGGTTGCTTGTATCCGTCGCATCTACATCGGTCACCCTTGCCAAGTGCCTATACCAGCCAAAAATTGTTAACGTTGACATAATATTGACTGTGTCCAATATGACAAAACAATTCAGACAGCAGCTAGCAGTTTACCTGTGGAAGTGATTTTCCTCTCTGATCCAGCTGGCATGTCCCTTACCGGTGACAAGCAGGTAGAGGAGTCCTGTGAGGAAGAGCACCAGGCCGATGAAGAGCAGCTGTCTGAGGGAAGGTATCATGAGCCGAGGAAGAATCTGAGATGACAGGCTGAAATGCCAGGAAGCAGGGAAAAGGCACGAAAAGCTGATCCTGTCAAAAGATAAATGAATAAAGAGCCTCAGCAAAGTGTGCCTCAAATGTCACAGATACCTCAATCAAAACACTGTACATGGCCACAAATGACATTACACCAACCTTCCCATGGTGCAGATTGTCTTCAGCTTGTTGGTTTACTTATCAAAAAGCATTAATCTGTCGACTGAAGGACGGAAATTTGGCTTATTCCGCGGCCCCATCTCGTTTTCCTCACGTATAACAGTTAATGACCTTTTAGGAGTAAATATGAGACACTTAGCATTAAACGTTACTCACGTTACCTTCTGGGCTCCTGTATGAGAGGCCTACCTTTAACGCCACACAGGTAAAGGGTACGTTCTCGTTTTGCTAACAACGCTGTAATGTACATTCTAACGTAATTACCCTGTGAACAGAAATTAGCCAAAATGGAAGGACTATAAGGTTCACTATTGTTAATAGAGCAAGTAACGTTAGCTAACGGTATCGTTTTCAGACAGCTGTGGAGAGTGACTACCCCAAGTGTTTGACTGCAGGTGCGAGCTAAAACACCAGAATCCGACACATTAAACGTTATACAAATCACCAGTGTCAGCACAGTAAAGTTACCTATCGGTAGCCTTTAACTGATTTAATACTTACCGCCAAAAAGTAAAAATTCCGCTTTTCTAGAAAATATAACATCTTTGAACGGCGACACACTAACCATAGGGTATTATTGTTACACGACTATGTGACACGTCTCCGGTGAGTGACGTGAAAAACCCACTATAGGCTGGTCTACGTCCGCGGTGTGTTTGATTTTTGTTCCCACACTTCCCGGATATCAAGCAGCAAAATAGCTGATCGCGGACGTATTATAGAAACTGCCGACACTCCTCTTCTTCTTTACGATAGAAGGTTTAAACCAGTCTTAACGCGTATTATCGCCATCTACTGGCTGGAAATGTTTTTTTT